CATACAGTTAAAGCTACTAGGCAGTGAAGCAGCAGATGGACCAGAGATAGGGCAAAAGTCACCTCCTTTGAACCATGTGACTAGCATAAATTCCTCCATTGTTGAAGAAGAAATCGATCTTTGTGATCAGAATTACAAGAGCATTACATATCTACACAAGCTTCAAGCTGCTAACAGAATAACCAATGGGGAAGGAAGTACGGATGTGAGTTTGTGCCATGCCACCTATGTCAAAGAGTATCAATGAAAACCATTTTTTTTTTATAAGAAACAAAACAGGGGAAAGACAAATGAGAAGGATAGAAAAAAATAAAACATTACAATTTACAAAACAGGGGACAAGTTAACTTTTATCTTACAACTTTAAGCTCACAGGTTATCCATAGACATTGATTACAATCTAAACTACTCAATCTAAATTACTGAGCATTAGAATAATACAAATCAGATTGATTTTTTGTCTAAAGCACAAATTGTTCTTCTTCAAAATGATTTTGATCAGAAAAAAGCATGAGACCAATAAACAGGAGTGCCAAGGTAATTGACAAAAAACGTTAATTGGATTACATACCTGAGTGTGATCCGAGTATGCTTATATCATATCATATGATGATGACTTGGTCATTTATCTTGATGCAAGGAATGTGTGATATCTTGGCCCAATCTTTTCCCGTCTTATTCTGATACCTTTTCTCCAGGGCAGAACATCTGAGGATGTGCAGAAAAGAAAGAGATGGTGGCAAACCCTCCTCTGGCAAGAATTGGAGACTCGGACAGTTCCAAATACGTAGCTTTTGAAGAGAAGTGAGATGCTGAAGTCCCTCTCCTGGCAGGAATTGGAGGTTGTCACACGCGTCAATTCCTAGCGTTTGGAGAGAAGTGAGGTGTTGAAGTCCCTCTCCTTCTCCTGGCAGGACTTGGATACTGTCACACCCACTAATAACTAGATGGCGAAGAGTGGTAGGAAGCAGGTGTTCCTTGAGCAATGTCTCCAAGATACTGCCACCAATTACAAAAAATTCAAGGGAGACAAGTCCTTCCAATCCCCAGTACTTTACCACTGGAGCCCTCAGCCTCTCACAACTACGAGTCAACAAATTTCGGATGTTGGGAGGCAAACCCCCTTCTGCAAATGACTCCAGATTTGGAAGATCATCCACCTGCAACAGTCGAAGGGCTGTGAGGGTGTGAATGCCTTCGGGTAATGACTTTAAATTCTTGCAGTCGCCGACTGTAAATTCATTCAAGTTGGGAGTGGGCCATCCTCCCTGACATTGAAAACACATCAAATTTGGACAATCATCGATAAACAATTCTCTGAGATGACTGAGATTCTCATTAACTCCTTCTTCAATGAAGGAAAGGGATTCCAGATTCTCACTACCCCTAATGTCAAGCTTCTTCAATTTGGGAAAAATGCTCACCGGGAAGTTCCTTAGTGAATCACAGCTATTCTCTATCCACAAAGATTCGAGCGATGTTAATTTGGCCAACGTCTCGTCAGGTAGGAATTCTAATCTCTTACAGTTCTGTATATAAAGTGTTGTCAAAGTAGTGGGTAACCCATCTTTAGGGAACGAAGACAGCGTTGGACAATTCTGGAGACTCAAATGTTGAAGACAATTGCGATTGGGCAAGCATTGTGTGTCAACGAAATTTCCAATTTCCACGAGTAATGATAACAGACCCTGTTGGCATCCACCTTCTATTTCCAACTCTTCAAGAGATCTGTAGTTAAGACTACTGGTTGTTGTAGTACTGTTCCCTTCACCATGTAAAACCTCACACCCAGACACCGTAAGCTTCTTCAAGCCAGGCAGATGACAAGGCAAGCTTCTGCTCAGCTTCGGACAGTTGGTTAGAATCAGCTCTTGGAGACGAGGGAAATCTGGACCATATTCGCCTCCACTTGCACTTGGTACCCATTCCTCCCACTCTGCCATGTCCATAAACTTTAGCTTCTCCAGTGATTGAAATGGCTGAATAAGAGAAGCTCCATTTCTGCCATAGAATTCCACGCCAATCATCTTAACAGACTTCATTCTTTCTATATAGAGCTCTTTGAGAGAGGGTAGACGCCCAACTGGTGGCAGTGACCAACAATAACTACAATCACTCAAATGCATGACTTGTAAATTAGAGAAGGACGTCTCTCCTAACCAATTCGGGAAGTTGGTTCCACCATAGAATCGGATGGTTAGTATCTCTATACTCATGCAGGGGTGGAGCTTGTCAAGTACATCTTTCTCCTTTTGGGAATCATCAGCATCCTCTGCACCCCATGCCAACTCTAACTCCGTGAGATCTTTTTTGTCCTTCAAATTGGCTTGCAATGCATCCCTAGCATCAGCTACATTTTGTAGCTTCAAAATTGCAAGTTTTCCTTGAAGCTGCGGGAACTCCCTCAATTCTCCTATGCTTGACCCAGCAGATCTGCCCACAACAAAAGTAGTCAATTGTCTCAAACTTTTCAGCCTTCCCATTTGCACCGGCATCTCTTCAATTTTAGTTCCACTGACATCAAGATGACGCAAATTAATCAACTCCCCTATTCCTGCAGGCAATTTAGTAAGAGAGCTACAACTTGCTAACGTTAATTTTTGTAAATTAATCAATTTTCTGATGTCTGCAGGCAATTCAAGGAGAGAGGAACAATTTGACAATAGTAACGTTTGCAAGTTGTAGAGATTGCAAAGTACCCCAGGTAACCTTTCAATTGCGGTATGGGAAAGATCCAAGTAGCGCAAGTGAATGAGGTTTCCAATAGAATCAGGTAACTCAATGACATTTTGATAACGTGACAATGATAGCACCCGTAAACAACTTAGTGATGGCAACAAATGTTGTAGAACCTTTTTACTGACATAAAATTCTTCATAATATCTATTTTGTTTTAAAGAGGTAGGTAGAAAGGTCCTCAAACACTTAGCCCCATATAATGGCTCAAATTTTGAAGCAACATCAAATTCTCCCCTAGCATATGACAAATGACGAGTTCGTTTAACTTCACGTGATTCCACCCCTTCCAGCCTAAGGCAAAACCCCTTAGAGATGAACATAGCCAAGTCATGAATGAGGTCATGCATTGTGAAACTGAATTCTCTTGACTTTTGAAACAGTGACCGAGATAATAGCTCATCAAAGTATTTTCTAGCCACTGATTCCATAATCTTCCCATTATCAACTTGAGTAACTAAGCCTTCTGCCATCCATAATTGAACTACATCTTCCTTTTCAAACTCATAATCCTTTGGAAAAACTGAACAATAAACAAAGCATCGTTTTAATTGAGCGGGGAGATAATGATAACTCAACCATAGAGCCGGAAGAATGTCAGTTGTACCATAGGGTAGGTACCAAATATTACTATTTAGTATTCTATTCCACTCCTCAGAATCTATATTGCAACGTAACAAACCCCCGAGTGTTTGTGCAGCTAAGGGCAACCCTTTGCACTTGAGTGCAATTTGCTTGCCAATGCCTTCCAAGTTTGAATTTGCACTATAGTTTTCATTTCCAAAAGCATGTTTAGCAAGTAACAACCAGCAGTCTTGATGTGACAATGGTTCCAAGAATTGAATGGGAACATTTTTCATTAAAGATGCCACATTTTTGTTCCGTGTTGTTACAATGACTTTGCTTCCCCTTGCCCCTGAATTAAAAGGAGTTTGGAGGCGCTCCCAATCACCATAATTTTCATTCCACAGATCATCCAACACAAATAAAAATTTCTTTCCCCTCAACTGTTCTCTTAATTCAACTTGAATCAAATTCAGATCTGTCATGTTACAAGGCTTTGAAGTGACTGACTCAAGAATAGTTTTAGTTATTCTAACAGCATTATAGTCTTCTGAAACACAAGCCCAAGCTTGAAGTGTAAAATGCCCTTTCACCTTATTGTTGTTGTAAAGCATTCGAGCAAGGGTTGTCTTGCCAACCCCACCCATTCCAACAATGGTGAGGACAGACACATCATCCTTGCTTGCATCATCAGATAGCAACACTTTTGATAAATTTTCTTGGTCTTCATCTCTACCATATACACAAGGTTCATGAACCAAGGAAGTTGTTGGAGTTCTATGTGAAACCTTCCTCCTAGCAACTTCTCCCAGACCAAGAGCAATTTTCTGTTGTACAAAGTTTTCTAATCTTTGCAACAACTCTTGTATCTTAACATTCATGCCTTGATAAAAATGATTACGAGAAGAAGGGAGTAAGTTCCACACCTTATTGGTTAATTTGTGGGTTTGATCCTCACCTTCCAGCTTGCATCGCAAAGCTTCAGTGTCGATCTCATCCAGCAAGTCCTCTGCATCAAAGACAGCATGCTTGAGCTCGTTAAGCCACTCTCTCACAGCAGGGTTCACAATTTGCTTCTCCTCTGCATCATTGAGCACCACGAACAAAGTCAACAGTGTCGTCTTCAGGTTCATGAGGAGTGGTTCGTCGAGTTTCTTCTGCCGAAATAAGTCGATGAACTCAGCTGAAGCAATTCTGTCACACAACACCTCGATAGAAGCAGAGATGAGAGCCTCTCCAATCAAAGCTGCTGCCATTTTTCTCTGCTTTGCAAGGGATTTGGATGAAGTAATACTCCAAGGTTTGCAGAACTTGGAAATACAGGTTCGTGAGGAAGTATGAAAGCCTTTTGAGATTG